AGTATGTACGGGTGTTGTATTTATACGATAAATACTTACTTTAAAAATTTTAAATTCCGCTGCGTACAGCCCGTACGGTACAATCGAACCCAACAAAAAGATCCTCATAAAGGCTGTCCTTAGCTCATTGCCAGTCTATGCAATGTCCTGCTTCATGTTACCAGCTGGGATATGCAAAGATCTAGCTAAAATCACTGCACATTTCTGGTGGAGCAAGGGTAAAGATATGGAAAAAGGACTACACTGAAAAAGCTGGAAACTACTTTCTATTCCCAAACAGTTTGGTGGTTTAGGCTTCCAAGATTTCAGTCTCTTCAACAAAGCACTTATTCTCAAGCAACTCTGGAGGATCACCACAAATCCCCATCTGCTGGTTAGTAAGCTGCTGCAAGCCAATTACTTCCCAAACTCATCCATTTTTGAAGCAAAAAAAAAGCCCTCTGCATCCTGGATGTGGATAAACTGGCTTGCTCTTATGCCTACTTTTAAACAAGGAATTTGGAAAGAAATCAGAAATGGGCAAGATACTAAGATTCAGGACAATGGCTGGGTACCCAGACTGGGAATTCTTCCTCCTCAAATAGCTGCTGGTGGGCAAAACCTAACACTTGTCAAGGACCTGATTAACAACAGTGGCAGTGGCTGGAACGAGGACCTTATCAAAGAGTTATTTACAGCTGAAGATGGCCAGGCTATTATGGAAATCAAATCCCTTTCACCAGGCCTGGAAGACAGATGGAGATGGAGGTTTGATACCAAAGGTAGCTTCTTTGTGGCTGCTTCTTACTCTCACTTAATTGATCGGAAGCTGAGAACTTTAGACTTACCTGAAAGTAGTAACTCTGGAAAAACTGATGTTTCTGTGAGACAAAGAAGCTGGAAACTTAAGATAAAACACAAGCTCAAGCACTTCATATGGAAATGCTTCACAGGGACACTCCCAGTGGGTGAAAACCTCAGGAAAAAAGTTCTTGACATTGATCCTATTTGAAAACTTTGTGGAGATGCTGTTGAATCTATTGAGCATGCCCTGCTTAGCTGCACCAGAGCCCAGCAGGTATGGAAACAATCACCTTTATATTGGGATGGCATTTCCATTGAGAATTGCAGTTTCAGAAGTTGGTGGTGGCAAGTGTGCTCCATAAAGAATTCTGAGGTCTCTGAAGCCAAGATTCAGCTATCAACCTATATACTATGGTGGCTTTGGAGATCTAGGAACTTATGGCTCTTCAACCAGGAAATCATACCAGTCAAAGTCATTGTTAAAAGGGCCATTCTGGAATGGCAAGAATTCATTGCAGCGACAGCTCCTCAGATATCAGTCTCAGGCTCCTCTGTCTAAATAGACCTCTATAGTTGGTTTAGGCATTGTTATTTTTAGTTTTGTTTCTGGGCAGTTGTAATGGTCTTTTCATGTTCTCTGTGATGTTCAGTTTCTTCTCTTAGTGGGTAGTTAGCTTCTAGTTGCTGTCTTGTTTTGTCTGGGTTTTGGGTAGGTTTTGGGTCGGTTTGGTGGTTTCTTAGTTAGAAGTTCCTAGCATTTGTCTAGCTTCTAGCTTTAGATTGATGGTTGGTTGATCTAGCACACTTCATGAGTGTTGCTCTCAGTTCCTTGCAGTTCGGGGTAGCCCAGTTTGTAACTTGATTTTCCTATTAATGAGATGTCTATCGTTGGTTAAAAAAAAAATCCAGATTTTGCTAATTCATTCAAAATATATATTCTTATTCTAATTAAAATTCTTGCAATTCGGATTGAATCTTCTGGTTTCAAAAGTTTTTTTTTTCATGTTTTATTTCAATTGTCTAGAATATGCTAATAAACAATTGTGATTTTCAATATGATTTCTACTTCTAAATTGATTTTCTAAAATGGAACATTTTATTATTTTTTTTTATCTATTCCGTTCATCTATTCGAAACTAAATGCTCCAATTTTGAAAACTAAGAGATTATCTTCACATTCATTGACGTGAAGCATACATCCATACAAAAATGAGTGTGTATCAATAGTTTAACATCTATACATGTTTATAAAATAAATACAACATTCAATATTACATTAATGATAAGTTACTAGACAAAAATTGTATGTTGATTGAAAATTGAGTAATTGTAGTGTTGTTTGTGATTCATTAACTAGATTTACTTTTGGCCACTACATCAATGTTAATGAAACGTTGGTTGGATGGGCAAACGAGTTTCAAGGCTGTAATTGGAGGGCACATAGTTTTAAATGCATGTGAACCAATAATATATGTAAGGAGTTAAAAGACTAATGCATGGCCCATAATCTTGTATATATAATAAGCAAGACCTTCAACCCATGCATGTAACCCCAAATTCAATATTTCATACATTAGTAATAAATAAAGTTAGTAATTAATTAAGTCACAAAAGAAAAAGAAAAAATGGGTCACACGGCCGCAACCAATGGCTATAATTTGTCGGTTTTGGCGGCCACGATGATCCTCCTCCTCTGCACGGCCACGGTCGATGGCAATGTCGTGAGCCCATTTTGCCGAACGGCAACAACCCACAAAAAAGATCAAGGCGTATGCACGGGATTGGTGAAAGGGGCGAAAACATGGGATGAGGCCATGACCAATGGGATTAATGCGGTGATAGAGATAGCCAAGGCCCAAAAAGGGAAGGCGGTGGACAGCGTTGAAGCAAAGTTGCCGAAAGGGCTGAGGCCCGCCACAAAGGAGTCCATAACCAAAGGTTGCAAGGACGCGTTTGATATGTATGTGTCCTACTTGGAAGACTGCATCGGGTGGGTGAAGAACGATCCTGACTCTTCTCTCGAGACCATCCTTTCTGGCAACACCTTCTATAACTGCAAAGACGGGTTCGATGAATTTCAGATCCAAAATCCCGACGTATATCGTTTTTATGACATGACAACTTACTTTGCTGACATTCTTCTCTCCATTTATCAAACCAAGCCTGCAGACCACCAGTAGATATGTATATATATCTATTGATAACCACATTCATTTTATTTTATTTTTTTCTTTATTTTGTTTAGTGTTCCCATGATATGCATGTTGTCGTGGCCACAAAATGGTTGATGATCCTACTATTTGTTCATATATCCATATCTGCCTTTTTTGTATACTAGTAAAGTGCAGGTAATAATTATTTTTACTAATTCATTTTATTAACCATGATTTTATTATACCCAATTCAATCAAATAATACATATCTCTCTCTATATATATATATGTGTGTGTGTGAAAATATGAATTGTAGAGCAAATGAATTGGTGAGGATGTAACAATTGTTTTTTTTCTTCCAAATCTATATTAGTTAGGCTTTAAAGTAAAACTAGTTTATAACTACATTATTATTGCTCATATATCTCTTTGACTTTGTCTTGTCCAATTTAATTAAGAATTTAAATATATATATATATTGAAGTTTCTAGGAGCAAACATAGATATTATGGTGGTTTTGGAGGACAAGAAACTTGTGGGTTTTTTTAAAAAAATGGCAAACTGCAGACTGAATCATTAGCATGACAATGCAAGAATGGAAAGAATATTAAATATTTTCTCAATTTTAATATTTTAAATATATATTTTTTATGCTCTTTTATACAAGATAATATATTTTAAACATACATTTTACATTTCTTACTGGATTAAGAGACCTGCCTAGGAGATGGGAAAGCTTCGAAATCCGTTTTTTTTTTTTACTAGAAAGGCGCTTCATATGGAAACTTCCGGGAAGAATAGTCTATCCTTATCCCATGCTGAGTCACAAGCAACGCCTCGAAAATGTAATTCAGGTCAATTACATCGAGCCTGAAGGTCCAAAGTTCATCATTTAGTGCGGTGGGAATCTGGTCATTTTAAGCCTTAGGTCAATTATATCGAGCTTTCAAGAGTTCTGTTCAAAACCTTGATCTGATATATTAATGCTTTCTAATCTACTTTCTCTCGTTCTCCTTTTATACAAGATAATTTTATATGGTTTACAATAAACTACATATATTATAAGTTATATCACATGTAATTTTATATGGTTTACAATAAACTATATATGATAAGTTATATCACATGTAACCCTACATCTTTAATTTTTAATTATTATTTAATATTATTTACCCACATCTTAATTTTAATTTATAATTATTAGTTTATATTGTTTATTCTCACCTTAATTTATATTTATTATTTCATATTACTTACCGTACACTGCACGAGCTACACACTAGTTTAATTAGTATACCATTACCATGCGTGTTCAGGTTATTTACCAAAAACAAAAATAAATGATTTGACTAGAAAACTAACTTAGTAAAAGTGAACATTATTAATATTCCATCTCTTAATTTTGAGAAGTTCAACTATAAATGCGGCCCGTATTATTTTCAAATATTTTATTTTGGCTTGAAAATTAATTTTTAAAATTTTCACATTAAGTAAGAAATTTTTATTTTTTGGAAAAACCATACAATTTATAGTAAATCCACACATTTTTATATATACTAATAATACGTAACCCGTGCGATACACGGGACAAAGAAGTTGGTCAAGTCCCATATGCCATGTCCGTTTAGCACAAAAATAATAGGATCATCTACCTATTTTAATCAATGTTATTTTTTGTGGGACCGTTAAACCTACATTCGTTAAGACTAGCCTGTAAGTTAATCTATTTTCTAACTATTTTTTATTTATACATACAATATCAATGGAAAATTGAAGATCGTAAAATGAAAGTTAATTTAATGTTTTATATAAAAAATTGGATAAACCTTTGCTTTGAGTTTTAATATATCTTGTTTGCCGTTGTGAAAATAATAATAATAATAATAATAATAATAATTAAAAAAAATATCAACCTGGAAAAGCTACTTTCATACATATGCCAACAATCTATGAACAAGTTAGACTGAAACCAAAATCCCGTCAAGAAGAGATAGTGTGATGTTTCTGCATTCTTCCAAAGGAAGCCTAGCTCATCACCTTCCAAATTATATATTTTTTTTTTTATTTTTTTTTTTTTTTTTATTNTTCCCTCTAGTAAACAACAAATGACAAAAACCAGAAAAGTCATCTATACGTAAACTGCGACAAGTAATCTTTCACGTCTGCTGCAACATCATATGCACCTTCCACGCATCTGCCTAACGCTACACCCGAGACATAATTGCCCCCAAGAAACACACCCTTAACCCCACGTTTTCTCAGAGCACTTCGGGCCTCATCCAACAAATCCAGGTGGCCCACCAAAAATTGTGGAATAGCTTGTGGCCACACACGCACTCCTAAGACAAGCGGATCTGTTGCATTACGATTTATAAGCATCTTCCTAAGGTCACGGTCCACCGATTCCACAAGCTCACCATCCGTCTATTATCAAACCACAAAAATATGTGCTGTCTGTCAATATGCAAACTGAATAACAACATGGCCAAAAAATTAACACAGCTAACTACCAATATCAGTAAGTGAGCAATCTGCCTAACAAATTTGTACCTTTGTTGTAATTCCTGAATTGGTAGCTCCACCAATGTAGTTTAAGAGAAGAACCCTTCCAGGTGGAGCACGGTTAGGAAACAGTGATGAGCTGTATATAGTTCCTGCAGGATGAAATAAAATCATAAAGAGGCAGACCTTTTATAGAGAGCTTCTACACTGCAATCAACCCGCAAATAAAGTACTCCCTACAGAAGAACCTCATTTTATGGGACTCAAAAACTAATATCAAGCATAATGGCAAACTTAGAAAATGCTAAGTGGTCTTTCAATATCTGAAATATCAAAATTCCCCATAGATAAATTAATCACAGCCAATCTACCTAAAGTTTCCACTCCTTGGGAACGAGGATGCAACTGCCCGAACCCCTTTAGTTCACCATCAATCAGACATTCTTCACGAATTGCTTGTTTAGGATAGGATATGGTGACTGCAGCAACAGGTGGATAATAAAATTTTGACAATGCATCTGCAGCCGCATCCTGCAAAAATTTACAAAGAAGGTAGTAAATGAACACGTAGCAAGTTTTATTTCGCCATTGCAATCAAATTACACTCAGCAATTATTTATTTTCATATTTAAAACTACTGTTGATGTACACATTTTGCAGGAATATAGAGGATATTCTATTGAATTTATCGTCTTTCTCACGGAAAAGTTCAAAACCAAAAGTTTACATCTTAGAAATCCCATTATTTCAATCAAAATGTAATTTGCCAGGTTCACAATTGTTATTAGTTCCATCACTTGCCAAAACCAAGCGTAAATATAGTCCTTTCATGAAAGAGCTAGCAAAATAAATTTAGATAATAGAGGAACAATAATGATCCAGACATGTTTCCTTCTTATGATGAATCATGAAAGGGCCAGATCGGAAAAAGGAGATGGCTGCATATATATATTTTATGTTCAGATTTCCAGATCATATGTTATCCAGAAGTTATTCAGATTTTGTATAGCAACCCTCACTTTGTTCCAACACCAGAAGTACCATGATCAAGTTAATAAATTGCTTTACATAGAAGTTGGGCAGAAGGTCGAAAAGAGCATACGAATAAAACATACCGAAAGTGGACGTAATATTCCACTTGCCACATAGGAGGGAACAGTCATCACCACACACCTACTCTTCAGAGATGCTATTCCCTTTGGGGTTTCATACGTTAAGGAATATCCTCCATCATCCAGTGCAGCAATAGTGACGAGTCTCCATGACAACTTCACTTTGTCTCCTAAGCTACAAATAAGATTCCGATGTATGAAAACAAACTAGTAAGTTCTCTACCACAGTACTTCCTTCCTCTCCATAGAGGATTTTATATGCATAGTTGTCATACCATTAGTGCATGGCTTATCAGCAACATTGATACCTTTATTGTTATTTGTCATATGCTTGCTATGTTAGCTTTCAGTGCCTTCTTTCAATTTAAATTTCAACTTTATAATAAGCAAGGACTAGTCATACCAAACATTTCTTTTTTATTGTGAATGTAATGTAAAACAAGGACTTTCAGATAGGTGTTTTCATAGATACACATTTTAAAGCATAAATCATAAGTACCTTGAGGAAATTGCATTAGGTAACATTGACAGGCCTTTTCTGAATGATCCAACTGTTTGCCCTTGTGGTTTAGGTAAGCGCCTACAATTGTACTCAATCAGATTTCTGGGTAGCCATTCACAATCAACAGAAACAAACACAAGCTAAGGCCTTATTTAAGCATGTATTTACGGATCTCGAGATTTCTTAGGACTTTTAGATTTCTCCTGGATTGCTTTGAAGGTTCCGCCAATGATGCTACCACCAGTTTGCTCCAGTTTCCATACTTTCCCAAATGCTGCTTTCATGCTCAATTTTGATGGATCCCCAGCATAAACACCTCCAAAAAATAAAAAAAATAAAAAATAAAAAATAAAAAAAAAAAACATGATAGTGACTTGTTTCAAATATAAGATAACAATAAACACTGCAACATACTCTATAAATGTAAGCACCGAGCCAATGGTGATAGTAATAATAAGAATAACAACACATTGATCTGAGCTTATTTCTCACATCTTATTAGATAAAATTTTCAGACTCACCAACAGGGATGCATGTTATCTCATAACGAATCATATAAACAATTCACCGAGTAGAAGTCGAGTAACTAGTCCTGCTACTAAGACAACATTTCATAAAACATCTAGAATCAAGCACATAGTAGTTCTAAGCTCAGCAACTCTAGACTTGCTTGTTTGCGTCAAAGGCAAAGCATGCCATAGTAAAAGCTAAGGTGACGGAGAAGGGATTACCAGAGCAAAATGGCTCTATCAACCGTTCAAAGACTTCATCGCCAAGGTTGCGCCTTACAAACTCTTCAACTGATTCCTCATGACCCTGTTACCTTTGACGAAACTTCAAATATGAGAAGGAACGTGATAGAATACATAAAAGAATCAACAAACTGGTGGTAAAGAAAAGGATAGAGAAGGATACAAACCGGAGGGGGTGGTCGAAGACCGATGGCCCCAAAACCGGCTCTGAGTTTCCCAGGAAAGCTCATCAAGTCAAAGAATGGCAAGTCAGTAGGCTTGGAGGGCACTGGCCTCAGCTTGCCATTCCACAAAACAAAACGAGGCGCATTGGGGTCTCCCAACACTAACTCATCTTTCAACCCACTGTCCACCTGCCATCTTAGAGTTTTCAATTAGTAACTTCAAACACAACCCTTGATTGATTTGAAACACACACACACACATATATATGTAAAAAGAACACTGAAGAATTACAGACCGCCATGGTAAGCATGGGATCAGAGGGCTGGAAGCTATTCGGACCTTCTTCCCATAGATAACCATCCCTTTCGACGGTGGTGATGTTTCCACCCACGCGCTCTCTGGCCTCCGTTACCACGACATTAGAGGTGCAGTGCTTTGTGGCTAGGGCCTGCGCTATACAGAGGCCGCTGATTCCAGCTCCGACGATCACGCAATCCAACATTGTACGATGCTCATCGTTTCGCGGAGAAGTAGAAGTGGAGACAGGACCGCCTTCGGCGACGGAGGAACGGACGGTTCGATTAATTCGATAATCATGGCGATGGGCTTTGTACGAAGTGAGCAGTGAAGGAGACGATTGACGGTTGAAGGAATCATGAGCGGGGATGAAAGGGGCGTGGAGACCGGCGAACGCGAAAACTCCCATTGACGGAAAATCTGATGAAACCGGCGCCGGTCGTGATATCAGTCAAGAGGCTTATCTATGGTTTGATATTTGTTTTGCTTGGAAATAACGGAACGATAGGATAATTTGCTTGGAAATATATGA